ACTAGTGACCAATGACAATACACAGTGATAGTAAACAGTGATAGAGAATAATGACTAGTAGCTTCTAAGAGTTTAATGCTTTCTTTTCAATATTTCATAAAAAAATCCTTGAGGGCAAGGGTCTCTTGGAAAGGGGGTATTATTATATAATCGTAATGGTAACTTAATTAGTTATTGGTTATATTAAAACTAATCATTAGAGTTAGTTATAGGCAGATAGCCGTTAGGATCTTATTAAAGAGCTTATAAATACTTGTGATCTCATTGTAAATCCTATGTTAAGTCATCAATACAATTGGTTATTCAATGAATCCCTTTGTCTCTCTAAACCCTCTTAATTGCTCTGTGTCTCTCCTACTTGTTTATTCTTCTCTTAATTCCCTATCCTTCCCTAGTCTCTATCATCCAGAATTATTCTTAATACAAACAACATGGCTTTATTTGGTATAAAGAACTAGAGAAGTGGGATTGAAACTTTGATTGACTAGTATTAGTTTTGTATAATTGGTATGAAGTAATGGATAATTTAATTTCAATCTCATCTATACGGGATTGATTTTTTTTCGTACCAAATTACCCACATCCTCTCTCTCTCCCCTTTGCCCTATGCCATGGTCTTCCCTCACTCAAGCTTCTTTTACCATGGCTATCTTAGGATAATAATGATTTGATTTAATCAAAAAGTTATTAATGATTTCATCATATAATATTAAAAAGGTATCAAATTTTAAATTTTTAGAGGAGATACCATAAATAAGGAGCATTCTTGAATTTTTAGAGAGAAATATATATTAATAATTTTTCAAGTATTGATAAAATCAAACGATTATAAATGAGACATTCATTATTTAAAACACTCATTGAATCCAAATCCATGTATCCTAATCATAGAGATGGAAATAGACCAAGCTTTGTTGAAATAGACTTGAGCCTATCATAAGCCTAACCGACTTTAAAACTTTTTTAAAAGCATACTTAATAAGTAGTAGGCCTTTAAAAAGGCTCAAGAAATAGGCTTTAAAGAGCCTTTACTAAATTTTAAGCCTACTTAAATTATCTTTTTTTTTTGTGAAAATATATATTAATGATAAAAGAAAATTTACAAAGTCAAATAGAAGAGAGGTAAGACAGAAGCATTAAAAGAATAAAAATGAACAGGATAAGATGAACAATGTGGACCACATTTTTGAAATTGATGGTTTGATGAAATGTTTTAAAACCCAAATTGGACAGTAAATTAGAAATGTTAGCAGGTCATGGTCTCATGGTTCAACCGGTTAGACCGACAACCTAATAATTAAATAAAAAATAACATATACATACATACATATATATATATATATATATATATAATACCACCCAAGTCTTTAATGCAACAAGCTAGCAAAAATACACCACCGCCTAAGTCTTTTAAAACACCCAAGTCATTAATACAACAAAAACACCATAATATGTTCTGGTCAAGTTATTAACATAATGCAACAAGTTCACAAGTACAACAATTTACAATCCATAAGCCTAACATTATAAGATAACTAATAATTTCATCACTTGTCAAAGATACTGGCAGATATTTGTTAATCCATTTGATTGATCCAACCATGGTTAGGCTCGAAAGCATTAGCATTTGCATTGTAACTATCATCATCTTCCTGACCAAATGATCCTAAATTAATCCCTTCACCCTCTACCACATTTACTCTTTGTTGACCATCTTTATAAACAAATGCATCAAAGTGATCAAACTAAATTAAAGCATTATTGAGAGCAATATAATAAAAGTAACAACATGTAATAAAGCTCAAAAGATTCAAAAATTCAAACCTTCCTCTTCCTGTTGCGAAATAATAGCTTTTGGTAGTGTTTGCTCATCATAAAAGAGATCTCCTTCTATCTCATCAGCATGAAGTAAAGAAGGATCATCTTCTTTCATTACCCAATACTCAATTTTATTAATACTTTCAAAATTAACAAGATCAATTGCTTTTCTCTTATTAACAACTCTAAAATACACATGACAATAGCAAACTATAAGAACTCATTTATCCAATCTTTATGAATGCAAATTAACATAAAGCTTTAAATAATATATCTATTCTTTAAGCAAAAATTGTAATAAATATATACAAGATCATTCAACCTTTGATGCTCCAATCTATTCCTTTTCTTGGAGTGTATTCTTTCAAAGACACTCCAATTCCTTTCAAAACCTGATAAAAATGCAGTTTGACTTAACAATAGCTAAGTTTTTAACATTCGAACAACTACTCCCAAAATATTGCCACCATTCATCTGTCATATTAAAGATAAAGTTATTAAAAGAGATTTTACAGATAAAGTTTCAAATAATAAATATGAAAGATAAATATATAAATCTTTACTTTACTAAGTCGTATTGATTTTGCAAATTCAATAGCCAATGGATGACTGAAGCTACCACTCTTTTCCTAATATTGTATGCCTTCTTGCAAGAACTTAGTCTTATTAGAAGAGACTTCCTTATCTATAACAATAAAATATCCTTGCATAACCTCTAACTTTTGAGAAAAGTTTTCTTTATCATAAAGAAAAGCAGGATTAAAGACATAAGCATCTACATGAAGATTTTGTCGAAGCTGAAAATCCCACCTTCTTTTAATAATCCTTGTATAGGGTTTGTACAAATATTTTTTCTTCAAAAAGTATTCTATATAGCTTTCCTTGCCCTATACATACCATCATAAATATACCCAAGTGATGGCTTATCATCAAAATCAATAATTCTCGACAATCGGATGAGTGGTTTTACAATTTCAACAACAATTTTATAGTCATTCTAAAATTTTTTGTCCAACACAATCATTGTCATATCCTTAGCCTTTGAATCCTTAGAGTATCTAGAGTCTATAAATGCCTTACTAGTTATCAAGGCTTATATATCATGCTTATGCTTATAAATACTCTTTAAAGCAATGAAAGTAGTAGCAAATTGTATAGCCCTTGGGCAAATGATTTCTACCCAATCCTCTCTTTTTTTTCTCAATCAAGCTAGCAAAAATGCATGGTTATATATGAATTTTGAAACTATAGATGCACGTGCTACTAAATTAGTAACAATCTTCATTTTACCTATGTTTGCCAAAATCAAATTTAAGCAATGGGCGGCACAAGGAGACCAAAAAATAGAAGGGTACTTATCATTTAATAATCTCCCAACAGCTTTATAATTAGCTACATTATCAATTACTAGATGAACAACATTATTTGCACCAGTAAATGCAATCATGCCCATGAATAAATTGTAAAGATTTTGAGCATCCTTAACTATATCTGAGGCATCAACAGATTTAATAAAAACAATTCCTCTAGGACAATAAATAAGAAAATTAATCAACTGCCTATTTCTTTGATCTTGCTAACCATCTGTCATTATAGTACAACTAGTTTCAGCCCAAAAACTTCTGCATTCATCAACTAGTAACTGAACCTCCTTCTTCATGTCTTTCAATATTTTACTTCTCACAGTATGGTAATTTGGGCCTTTATAACCAGGACCAATAGCAGCAATAGCAACTACCATAAGTTAGTAGTAAATGAAATTTACAGCATTTATTGGAATATAATAATTATATAACCACCTACCAATAGCTAAATCAGCTTTATGCAAAGCTTCTTTACCTGTAAATGTACTTCATATTCCTGGTTGTGCACCCGGGGTTGTCCTTGGGGCAAAAAACTTCTTTACAGATTCAAATGCCTTTCTTTTTCTTGATTGAGAAGAATTTGGAATATTTGCTTCAATCACCTTTTCTGGAGACTGTAAAAGAGCCATTTCTTCCATATTTGAATCATTCTCCCTAAATAGACTATCCTCTGTTTTTGTTGGCTTATCTTGTTTTTTTGGTTCTCTTTCCCTCAATGTATTTCAAATTTTCCTTCAATCAAAAGTGAACATCATGAGGCACATTTTTACAACTAATGGCATCTCCTCTTTTCCCAGCAAGGTGCTATTTCATTCTATTAATTCCCCTACTACCAATTCCTTTACACAATACAAGCATTTTAAGCAAGGTTTGCCACCTTCCTTTTTGTTTGGTATTTGAGTATAATGCTCCCATGTAGGATCTGATTTAGCTCTAATAGATTGAGTAGATACAGCAATAGATGCATGTTCAAATGATGACATCTTCTACACCTAAACAAGTAAATTAACAAATTAAAAGTAGACAAACAATATGAATATAGCCTTCCTATTTTGTCAATAAACAACTCTCGAGTCTCAAATGGATCAAGACAATATGAATAAAATTATAACGATGTCCATGAATAAATTACAAAGCAGATAACACAATAAAGACTCTTGAGTGGATCAAAATTCAGGCATAATTAGCTCAGACAATACAAAAAAGTTCATCCATCAACATTCATTCATTGCTAATTTGCTATTCAAAACCATGGGTATTAGATTAGATTGGGCAGAGAGATAGATAAGGGAGACAGAAAATCTCACCAAGATTGAGAGAGAGAGAGAGAGCGATCAATAAAGAAGATGAAGAATGAAGGATGCTGAGCTCGACGCCATCTGACTATCTTGGTGTCTCCGACAACTGCATGCATGGGCAAGAGTTAACCAAGAAGTCAAAAGCAAAACCTAAATGGCTGGGAAGGCGAGACGCGAGACTTCAAGATGGCTGAACAGTGAAGAAGATGAAGAAAGAACCCAGATAGCTGACTAGTTGAACGACGAAGACCCACAGAAACCCAGACAGCTGAGATTTGAGGAGGCGATGACTGACCAGAACCCACTATGCGAGACAGAGAAGAGAAGTGAGATACTGAGATTGACTGATTGAGATGCTGATTTCTGAGTCTAAGTTGCAAGGCTGCGAGTGTTAATGACTGGATGGGTTGGGTTGCTGGTGCCTGGTGGTTCATGTGAGAACCCGATAAGGGTTTTTTTAATTTTTAAAATACCAACCTTATCCTTTCTTTTGACCCCTATTGACCTATACAAACTCGTTATGAGTTTCGGTTCTTTTTTGGGTTTATAAAAACTGTTTAGTTTTAGACAATCCAACCTGGGTCAATAGCTAATACGGGTTAATTAGTTGACCTAGCTTGCTTTCTTTAACGGGTGACGGTCCGATCGTCCGAGTCAGTTTGGATTTTAAAACATTGATTCAATGAAAAATTTCTAATCCAATATAATATGCCACAAAATTATCAATACGACTCAATTATTCAAGAAAATATAAATTAAAATATAATATATTATTGTATTTTATTTAATATATAAATAAAATAATATATATATATATATATATATATGCATATATTAATAAAAAACCTTAAATCCCCATATAACCCATTTAATCAAAACAGACCTTGAAAGCTGATCTATTTTGCTAAATATACTTCCCGACCAAACACACCTAGGCCGGGCCATAGCCAGCGTGATTGGAGCCGGGCCTGTTCTCACTATACCCAATCTTCACTATTCTCTCACTCGGTCCAGCTACAATGCCCGTCCCTTTCATTTGCCACCGCTCTTGCGCTGGCGCCGTTCTCCACCATTGACAGTGCGAGTTCGAGTTCTTCTCCCTCCATCTTTCTCCCACTGGTATCGAGTTCGCCAGGTCTGGGTTCAAGTGCATGATTTAATTATTTTCTCCAGTTTTGACTTTCAGTTTCGATCGTGATTTGAGACACTTCAGTTTGCGAACCAGTATAGTTTCTAAGCTTTTATTGGGTGGATAATATCGTTTTCCTGAATATTGGCCCAGTGAAATGTAATTTTCATCCAAAATCTTCACCGTGCATTTTTTCTTCTTCTTGGAAATTTATTTACCCGTAACATTGTGTTTGGGCATGCAGTTTATCCAAATCTTTAAATGCTGTTTTTATTCATGGTGCATTTTGCTTCCATACATTTTGTTTGGGGATGCCTTGAAGATTTGCTGGGTCTGGGGATGCCTTGAAGAAGCAGCGCAAGGGGGATGGAAGAAGATGAGGGCATCGGGGGTCTTTTCATCAATTTTTGTTTGATCTGAGTCTTTTTTTTTTTTTTGGTCTGTTTAACCCCATGTTATACCAAGCATAATTTTAAAGTTTATTGCCATTACCAATCCCATAAAACTCAATACTTCGTACCAATCGGAGCCTTTGGGATTACGTATGACCAACATTCATTAAACTGTCGGGCATAGTCTACTCCTCTAGTCTTCCTGTCACTCCTCAAAAGGCAAAAAAAAAAAAAAAAAAAAAAATCGCTTTATGTCATTTTCTTAATTTCATGTTTTTTGGAAGAACCATTTTCTTAATTTTATCGTATATGTACACTTAATTTGCTTCTTCCAATTTTGACATTCCTGTAATCACTGAAAACTCCAGGGTCTATATGAACCATCTCTTTTGCTTATTTCATTTGATTTAAATTACTGATGTTGGAAAGATTTCTGTTCTTCATGTTATTTGAGTCTTGACAATAATGGGAAGTTTTACTAGTAATTTTGTGTGATAGTAAAATTGTACTACAAATATTGAATGCAAAGAGATGGCGATTTTATCTTATTTTACAGAGCAACATGCAGCTAGTTTCGGCCTTTGGAATTTTGAGTGCATTGGGCTTTTAGATTTGATTTTGTATTTCACATCATGCAACTAATTTGCTGGTTTTTTGGTGGACCTATGAAACTAATTTGAGTTTGAACACTTCTTTTTAACACTAAATGCCGTGTGTAGGCCTTTTATCTCTTCTTGAGTTAATTGTATTAGTTTTTTTTCAGCATTTTCTATAGATGTAAAAGATGTAGTTACTTAGTTTGAAGTTTCTAAGAAGATGCAGTTAATGATATGAGACAAAAAAAAACAAAGAAAATGATAATAAATAAGAGGATGCAATCATCACTGCCAACTGCCATATGGCTTGTTATTCTAACTTGTACTTGCTGCTGAGCTCCATATCTCTTGTACGTTTGGCTTACAGCAGTGACTGACATCAGATAGAAGTTGACATTTTCAATTCAGAAATAAGAAGTAAAGGAATACAGTAGCCTGCTCAGTTTTTGAATTATTTTGACAGCTGATCTCTGCTATGAACAACAATCTGGCATTTCTTGTGAGAACTGTTGCAAAAAAATTTCACAGCCCATCTTCATTGCGAATCTATTGCTCATCTCCTCAGAGTCTTCTCCTCCTGCCAGCAATAAACTCTTCGTTGGAGGTCTCTCTCATCATTCATTCTCTGTATCTTGTCATGTTATGAATATGATGAGCTTTATTCAATTGGCTATGACTCGTGGTGTTCAGGTTTGTCATGGTCTGTGGATGAGAAGTCCCTCAAAGACGCTTTTCGTTCATTTGGTGAAGTCACTGAATGTAATATGTGTATGTCTTTTTCTGGGCCTTTGTAGTTTCCATTTTCTGTTATGGGTCTACATATTGGATGATGGGCGGACTGGTTTAGTTATGTAGTCTCAGTGCTCCAGTTTCTACTATGGCAAGTTTTTTCATGTAATGGCTTTAGATTGAGAATCAACTGCTGTTATTTATCAAGTTGGATTTTTAGGATTTTCCTGATTGATTTGTACAGCACTGATTTATGGCCTTTTTTGTAATTTTTTTTCCGCATTAATATTATTTCCTTTCACTCAAAAAAAGTTATATTTTCCCCCAAGAACTGTTTTAAAGAAGTTAAGAACAACAGCTAGGGAACTTTGCTTATATCTTGCATGGTATCTTAATTATTATTGCTTATTGAAGTTCCGTCTGTTAGCACTAGTATAAAAAAATGTTTGCTAAAGCTGGTAAAAAGGCTTTCTAAATTGGTTCTAGAATCAGTTTAAGTAAGGCTGGTTTAGTTACAACTAGTTTAGAAAATAACTTCATAGGCCAGTTGCTTACAACCGGTCTAGTAAGTGTCCAAAAATAAGGAAGAAAAAGGAAAAAGTTGTCTTTCTAAACCATGGTGACATTTTGTATGCAGGCAACTGTTGGGAAGACCCTTGAGAATAAATTTTTGCTCTTGAGAAGGTCCGTGGAGGACCTGTTGTAGTTCCTCGGATCTCAGACAGTGGACACATAAATAGGCACAGAGCTTGCCCTAAAACTCGGTGAGGTGTAATATTTTCTTTTAATTTTTAAATGATACGATAATTATAACTTGCATTTCGACCAAACAAAAGTAAAACACTCCTGATTGGGATGATTGGAAAAGATAGAGGTGGAAGTGATTTTATATGTTTTTTATATATTATGATTATCGTTGCTCTCTCTCGAACCACTATTTGTCATTATTAACTAATTTGTGGTTTACAAAAAATGTTAGTTGAAATCTTATTTTACTAGAAATATTCACATCTTGTTATTTATGCTCTTTTAAGTTTTCTAGTAATACGTGCATAATCTTTAAATATGGAACATTTCAAGACAATGAATTAAAAATAACAAGGGTATACATGAAAAAAAAATATAAAATTTACCCAATGCTCTATATTTTAGATCAATGAGTGTTTTTAGCAAGTGACTTATATTGTGATATGAAGGATGTATTCAATAACATGTTATTGGTTCTTCCATTTTTTTTTTTTGAGTATGGAGGTGAGAAAGATCATATTGTATACATTATTCTAGTCTAGGCAAAATATCATATAAAGATTATGTATTTTATCTTAACTTTTTTATTTGAACTGTGAATATGATTCTTGAAATTAATCTTTGCAGTAAAATACATGGGCATCCCCCTCTATTTAATCTAAATTACAAAGACTTTTTATTTTGAAAACCTCCATAGGCCTCCCTTATAAATATTGTATAATTATTATAACAAATTGTTTAAGAATTCAAATGATAATAAAATAAAAAGAGATTAAATCAAAGCAAACAAGCATTAATTACTTCAACTTCATCTTATATTAACGATAAAAAAAGTATTCTAATTTCATGTTATAATAAGGATAGTAGTATTTTTCTTTTGTACGTAGCTTGGGGGAAAAAATTAGTTAATAACATTAAAATATAAATTTGTGAGTTGGGTTTGTTCATCCCTTCATCATGCATCATGACAATTAACTCTTCAAATGAATTGAGTCACAGTATTGTTTTTTTGTTTCCAATTAATAGATTTATAAATAATTAATTTTATCACTAACTTTTAGAATAGATGCATGATTCTCTACCTCAAATATACGAGTGATGATAAACGTTCTATTTTAATTCGAAGTCTCAATGTACAAATATAGAGGGTATTTTTACTTTTTAACTCAAAACCCTGTAGATTTTTAAATGCATGATTCTCTACGCCAAGTATCATTTAAACCTTGAAGGCAAACCGTGAAGAAAATTATATATATCATTTTCTTTGATTAATGAATAAAATCATGAGTGTCAAATGTGTAGCAAACAACTAAATAATTGTATAAAAGAAGCCATTCGAAATTCATCGTATTACTATTTCTTTACAAGGAAATTTCATTGTGAGTGGAAAGTTCTTGAGTCTAAATTCTGGTGCAATCTTATATTCCCTGGTCTCTTTCTGATTCAGTTGAAGACAAAACACAATTATTTGCTTGCGATACCGTTGGTGGATGATAATTCGATGAGTGTTGATATGTTTGAGTTGATCCAAATCTATAAAACTCTTCACGATCACTTGTATTTCTCAACATTTCAGTCCTTGGCAAACTCATGACATCAGTATCTTCACGCCATTCTCCACCATTCACTTGCCTGCACAAACAAACAATTATAGGCCATGCATGGGAGCAAGCAAAAAAATAATAAAATAAAATCTAAAATCTCATGTTAAGGGCCTGTTTGTTTTTGGTTTTAAAAACTTTTTTTTATATTTTAAAAAAAGTTAAAAAAATAGTTTGAATGAGTTATTTGGATTTAATTGTTTGTTTCAAAATGTTCTTTTTTATTTTTTTAAAAATAAAAATGAAAAAGAAAACATTTTAAAACTGTTTTTTGTTTTATTTTCTTGGTTTAAAAAAAAAAAAACATATTTTGACTGATTAAAACTATCAATATCATAAACTATTATCATTAACTAGTGGCGAAGCCAGGGGTGCAGAATTATTTTATGAAAATATTAATATCTAGTTAAAAAAAATAATTTTGTTAGGACTAACATTATAATAACATAAATAAATTTGATTATCATTTTTCATTTTAAAAAAATTATATCCAGCAAGTTGATATAGTTTTTTGACATAAATATGCTCTACAAATCTTATATAAATCATTAAAATATTACATACTTAATAAGCTTTTTTAACACAAATATTTTTATTTAGTTCAAAAGGTGTAAAATATCAAGAGTGAGGTATAAAGTTGTAAAATTATATACCCTACTTATAAATTTTCTCACTCAACATAATGTGGCTCCACCCTTGCCATTAACAAAAGATTTTTTTTAATTCTAAAAATGTTTAAATTAAAATAATCAAACAGAAGATTTTTTTTATTTTGGTTTGAAAAAATAATTTAAAGAACTGCATTATAAAGCAACTTAAAAAAACAGAGAATTAAACCAAGCATGCCCTAAATTATGATCAGCTTTACATCAAATATTTAGGATTTATGTTTTGATAACTTACCTTGGGAAGTTGCAATGATGTTGGTTGATGCAAATCATAAAGTGGATTTCTCTTATTTGTCAATATTGCTCTGTCAGTCATCCCAACTTGTCCTTGCGGTCCTATTTTCATTAAGATCATAGGATTGGTAAAATTTGTAGCAGTTTTCATATGCAAACAAGTTTAATTACCCCCAAATTATTTAATTCTCAATTGATATTGGAACTCATCTTTATGTCTTCATTAACATTTCTCATAGTTATATATTCTAATTATCAAACAAATTAAAAATAAAAATGCCAAGGAACCCATAAAAAATGTTCGCATGGAAATTCTTACCTTTTTTGTGGCCGTAGCTATTATCACAACTTTCAACATCGGCATGCACTTGAACATCCAAATTTGCCCTTCATTGAAAAGTAGAAAAATATTAAAAAGAAGAAATAATTTTGAATTTATTATTGAATTTTAGAAAAAAAAATTGATTGAAGCCCCAATCATGTCATTAAATAATTTTTTAAAAAATGCGCAAGATCATAAAGAATTACCTTGTGACAAGGGCAATATCCGCTTGAACAATTTGTCTTATATGCAATTGCACCCTCTTCTAGACTTTCCTTGATCAACAATATTGTCCTACAATGATCACAATATAAATCATCAAGGCAATGAGTCAAAAAAATTGAGTAATAATAATAAATAATAGCTTATCTCTCTTTAAGCTCATGAACTATAAGAACTTACAAATGCTGATGGATGACATAAAATGCTATTCTTTCTCTCCATAATAATGGTGTTTGCATAGTTGGATGTGTTAAAACAGCCTTCGCAATTGCAATCTTGACCACATAAATCTCCAGCAGCAAAACATTCAAATAACTGTAGAGACAAACAAAAAATTCAGATTATTAATAATACAATATGTGTGTGTATACATATACTCCATTTTTTTAAGGTAGAGAGATAGGGATTTTTTTTCTCATTTATAAGTTAAGTTATTAAATTGTTGTCAGAATTTTTTATCCCCATTAAATATAGGTGCAAGAAAGTTTGTTATAAAAGTATATATATTTTATAAGGACGAAGTTGGAGCTTATTAAATTTTTAATAGAGTTAACAAATTTTAAGATTTTTCTTATTTCCTACGACACATGTTAAAGGTAACTTAAAAATATGATCAAAAGAAGTATATATACTCCCGCTATTCTATACATAAGAGAATTGTTACCTGTTTTTTTTGTTTTTTTATTAAATTATATATCTCAATAAGCATTCATTATACTTTTTCTAAATTACCCCTCATAAACTTTTTTTTATTTATGAGAAACAATTAATATAGCCTTATTTTGATTATATACTGAGTATTTTAGTCCTATTTTTTATTTTTAAATATAATTATTATAATTAACTAACTTTCTTAAACTATATGATACAAATAATGATATACAATTATTTCCAATTTTCTCTTTATATATAAATGAAGGGATAATACATGCCTGCAAATTAAACTTACAGCTTCAAGCATTGGCTCTTCTTACAGTTGCAATTGTGATTTTGATATCTTCCGCCTATGAAGACATGCTAAATTGGTTTAATAATAATGAGTAATCTGTTGAATTCACTTTGATTGAAGAAATAACCAATAATAATTATCCTAAAGAGAAATGAGAAAAGAAAACAAACATCTTATTTGGAGGAGTTGAGGATTGAATGAATTGTGAGAATAGCCAAAACTTAGACGTTGATGAATTGGAAATTGATAAGTTAATGTGTTTGGGGTGGTTGTACTTGCACATGTGGCATAAAGGGCATTGTTAGTGTGAGGATTAGCCATCAGTGGCATTTGAGATGCATCATTCAAAATATGAAGTTGCAGAAGTGAATTGATCTTTACATTTGAACCAATTAGAAGTCATGTCATGTTCTGCAGAAAGTGAAACTC